ACAAATAACTACAGAATCTTCGCTTATGCATATTTACTGATTGCATATTACAAGTATTCTGACAACAATTGTGATTACATGATGTCATTATGGGAATGCTTCTTGATCCGTACATTAATCACGTTAACAATATTTTTGAACGCTATTTCAATACCAGCAATAGTCACTGAACGAGCGATTGGGACGTATTTTGCATCAAAATATGAAAAAGTTGGCAAAAAAGTCGGCGTTATGTTGATCATAGCACAGGTATCAGAAGCAATTTTATCAGACGAGAAATGTTTATTTACATTTTAAACTCTGATATTAATGATCTATTATTAAAATTATTGAACGACTGGAGATAATATGAGATAAATTTATTCTATTACTGACAAAGTAGCACTACTCAGCATTTCGAGTAAGCTGCTTTCAGTATCAAAAATCAGCAGAAATTCGCACGAGATTAATGATGGACTGAAGTCTTGACAAAGCTGATCAAATAAATGCCAGCAATAAAAACAATAACAATCATAGTAATAAACAGTAACAAGTGATAAACAGCTTGACATAGTTCTGCTTCAGATTATCATTGCCAGTGGAAGTTTTTTCACAGTTCTTCGTGACGAGCCGCTCAGCACAAAAAAAGTACCATACTGTTCATCGGTAAAAAGCAATGAACGATCTCTGAAGAACATCGCACTTTGGTCATTTTTTGTCGTCATCGATGTCACATCAGCAGTCGTTCTTCTTTTTTTATTATTCGCAAATAAGGCAGCTACAAATTTATTTCACTAATTTTTCAATTATACAATTAATTATTTGACTTAAAACAGTTTCAATCATGAGCGTAAATACTACATACGTGTAGTAGGCGTAAGTGGTATTTACGCTCTAACACCAACAAGAAACTCGCTCAGCACAAAAAAAGTGGTTTATTATTTGATCAAAGCTCTCACAAAACTGAAATGCTGACAAACAGTCCACCTTTCTTCAAAGATTTATTGCCAGTTACTCACAATTCTTGCAGAGAATACGTCGTGAAAATACTCATCTCAGTTTGTCGCAGCGTTATCAGATCAAGGAAAATATCATATCTATTCAGACAATGTCACCGCTTATAGCATTTCAGTCATTGTTTTTAACTGTATTTTCAATTGGGATGCTGCTAAATTCAATCACAAACTTT